GCCAACTGAGACTCATATCACGTAGGTGTCAGGGTCTCTCTCTGGAACGATAAAGCTACACCCCACTGAAATAGGTAGGCCGAAGCGTGAAGCTAGCTAACCGATCCATATGCTGCCAAGGTTGTCGCTTTGTGGAGTTGTACTTAGTCATAGGGACAACCTTACACTTTCCGACCCATCTCTGTGTTATCTTATGTAACTCCATGGAACAGGCTGAGAGAAAAATTCCCCGTCATTTGTGAAACCAAAAGGTCATTTAAATGTTCACTAGAGCTCGCCACTGGTCTCTGTCCTGATCTCGGTGAAGGCTGTCCACTTCCATATCCTATATCCTGTTTTATTCTGATTTATTTTGATATTGTCCTTTCATCTACATTTATCTCTTCCAATTTCGTATTTCTCAGTTGCTCCGTACGTGATCATTTCATTTTATTCTCATTGGTTTATTTATCCTAATAATATTTTGTTAGTAATATGTTATTTGATCTTTCAAGGGTCATTTTCCGAGAGTCTCTTTTCACCAAAACTCTTGTAAGCTGTACATTTTGTGCGTAATATGTTAATTGATCTTTCAAGGGCCATTTTCCGAGAGTCTCTTTCACCAAAACTCTTGTAAGCTGTACATTTCTTGCCTCTTCCATCTAAGCTACATGTCCACTTCACATTAATGTCCTTGATCTCACTTTCCTAACAAATTAATGTGTTGAAAGTAAATAAGGAATTTCCTCATAATGTAACACCCCACTTCCTGCTTCTCGTGTACGGACGTACGATTACTTTTCTCAGCACTTTGTTTCTGACGCTTGTAATTTATATTCTTCCCCCAAAGCAACTTCTTCTCTGTTACCTACACACATGTCTGTGTGAAACTGTTTCATCTGCGTTCTTCTCAGCACGCGAAAGAGTATACACCATGGGTCGAGAAAGGAATGTAGTAATCAGTGGTATTTGGTATTATGTAATTTAGAAGTACAATCGCAGTCAGGAACAGGGTATTCTACGTGGGTATGTAGTTTAACTTTCGGTGCCAAAATTCCCTGGCAGTTTCATAAAAACAATAATGAATTGACGTGATGATGGTGCATGCCATTTCAAAATGGTTTACAGTTTTTGTTTAACAGTTTAAAAAAATTGTTAATTTAAATATAACTTTCTAAATCACTACAAAGTTGGCAATATTCTGATAGTTTGTAGATGTAAGATTAGTTTTTCAGTGACGCTGGTTAGTGATGAACACAGGGGATGGATTCTCACTTGATCGTTCTAAAACTATTCTATCAAACAACAGGGCGTTGAAGTGTTCACCCTACGAGCTTTCCTCTAGGGTAACATGAACATCTTCACCGGTGTTGCATCAACAGAAAATTGTTATGTAGGTGTAAAGTAAGATTCTATAACAGGCCATGAAAGTCACAAGCAATTCTTATTTCTCCCAGTTCGAACGTTAACTGAAGGAACGGTGCCATACTCGAGTAAATCTGACAAAATAACTTTTTATGCGAAGTTTTACGGCAGTGATCAATATTTCTGTTATGATACGAAAAGATCAGTGTTTGGAAATGTCACTTGCAGATAGGGAGTACAGAAAAATACAGTCGTGTTTTGTAAGTTACCTTTTGTAAATACGAGTCGCAATTGAATTTCTTTTAATAATGGAGCCGATAGGATATTTTTCTATTCGGTTTCTAAGTAGTTAGATAATTTATTTGCTCCGAGTTAGTTAAATGTTGGTTCAGAAGAAATGAGTTTCTGAGCTATGAAACTGCTTATTTTCTATCAGTGCAATAATTGTAAGTTTTTGGACACGGCATTAATACGAAATTCTGGCTGTGTGATGATACATGACATTTTACATTATTTTCATATTGCATGTCTTATTTTATAAGATAATACAAGCTATGGTAGGCCTGTCATATGCAACAAGAACACAGCGGCTTTGCGAAATTCTGAAGTGGAAGATACAGAATACAGGATTCCGAAGTTTTTATTAAAATGAATAGGACGCCGAACGCCATGTTGTTTCAGCTTAATGGCTACAACGTATGAGCCAACGTAGATGTGGAAGATTTATTATGAAAATAAATTTTAACTTTGTTACTAATTTTGAATCAAACTTTTACTCTTAACAGAATATTAACATCTTAAATGTGACCTTTCAAGTTATATTTAACAAATACAGAATATTTATTATAACAAACATTATTCCAAGAAGGAGATAAATTATAAGCAATAACTGAATCCATGAAGCAGAGTCTCTAATATTCCCCTAGCTGATCTACAAATTTCCCGCCTTTTGTGAAAATCGATTGTTCATTACCATGTTCACAAGAATGGGTTACTGAGCTGCATTATCAGCTAGCTGAAACAAACCACACCCTCATATCCTGTTTTTAAGATCTATTTTAATATTATTGTCTCAAATATGCCTAGGTAAATTGTAAGCGGTGTAAACCTTGAAGATTTCTGTCTTCTGGGTTGTTACGCCGTGTAGTCTGGTCGATGTTTACCAAAGTTTCTGAGGTCACCCTGATGACGGAGGCAGTATGACCTCTGAAACGTTGGTTAACATCGACCAGTCTACACAGTGCAACAACCCAGAAGACAGAAATCTTCATACTCACCGTTGTGAAAACCTCAAATATTTCGGTACAAACCTTAATTTATAATTCCCACCACAGTATCTAAAGATGTGAAAGCATTTAAAATTACTTACGCGCTATTAATTATTGCCGTAACTATTTTCATCGGGTAATACTTTATATGCACCCGTGTGAACATACGGCTGGAGCATTGTGTGTTAGGAGCGCCTGCACCAACTCATTACTAGTAGTATTATGTGCATACCGTAAAATCCTACCGTGCCTTCGGTCAAGGACCTTGTTGACAGCTTCTGCGTAGAGGGATTTGGAACTCCCCGTTATTTTATTCCATGCAATTCCATTGCTTCCAGCTATCCCACAGTTAGTTTCATACATAGTCAGTAATTAGCTAATTCTAAGGAGATCACTGCTTTCTGAAGTTCAACAGACGTCTAGTGTGTAATTAATTAGATTCCTACTTCAACATTATCTTGCAAATTCTCAGCGCTGTTTATGAAATTAGATTCGCAAGTTCATTAGATTGTAATTAAATTAGTCATTTGCAGAAGGGCATCAGCTCCTTTAAAAATTAATTATGTATGAATACACAAGATGGAGCCATAGATGTGTGTGTGTAATCTTTTGGAAATCTGATTAGCGCTGTAAACGTAAATGTCAAAATAGCAAACATTTTCTTTTGTGCTGGATGAGACCCTTCTTAATTCACATTTAGGGAATAAATGATTGCTTTTAAACACAATGAATAAGTTTATGTTGTTTTCAATTTTGTTAGTGGAATTCCGGTATACGGAAAATTAAAAAGGAAAATTAGGATGCGCACATATGGGTTTCCTGTTATGTTTGGGCCAAGATTAAATTCACCCAGTAACGTCAGTATAGATCCCGTTCAAGTTTCATTAAAATACTTCGATTTAAGAACTCTTGCTGTTATTATTGCTACTAGTATTGTCGATTTATGGTTTAGAAAAATATATTTGTGAGATGATAAAGTTGCGTCATATTGTGATAAATATATATTTGTTTAAATCTTGTCAGTCTAATCACAATAAAATTCCTATTAAATATTAAAATATTACTAAAATTAACATTTAAATATTTAAAATGATGATATAATTTTATACACCTGAAGATGGTTCTTTTAGAACTGAAACATGTCGTGTAAAAAGTGATGATCTAATGTAAATCGAACATTTCGATAGAAAACATCATTTTAAATATTTAAATGTTAATTTTAGTAATATTTTAATATTTAATAGGAATTTTATTGTGATTAGACTGACAAGATTTAAACAAAAAATATATTTGGTTAAATTCGTTACATAGTTTTATGTAGACAGCCTTCATAAGAAAGATTAGGATGTAAGACAAATTTTTAAAGGCAGTTTAAACGATTGTTAAAAATAAAAGGAAGTTCAGTTATAATTTACTGTCTTTATTGTCGTTTCTTAGAAAAATACATAGTATATTACAATTATATTTATATATGATGTTTTTCAATATTGGATTGTTTACTTAATATATATTTACAAAACTCACCAATTATAAACAAAATGTAGCACATTTTATACAAATGTGTAGAAACGTGTTTTGATCTCAGAATAAAACGAATCCCTCCATTTCTAAGTAGTATTTAAATTATGCATGAGTTTAGTTTAGTTTTCTTTTATTTACAGCGCTTATTGAAATTGAGCTAAAAACTTATGTTTTCATCTGAGGTTCTCTCTGCACTTAATATGTCGATTATAGTCTCTGACTTTAACTTCGCAAGTGGTTGCCAACATTTTTCAGAAACTTTGTTAAGCCCCTACAAGACTACACGTCATAATATCCCACAAGATTACAATAGTCATACCAAATCCACACATTACGATTAAGATTTAAGTAAGAACGTCGGTGGGGTCTGCTGTTCGAAGCCTTTCTCTTCCATTTGAGTTTAAGTATTTGGACAGCGTGTTAGTCTCTCTCTTTTTTCAAATATTCTTACCACACCCGAATAAAGAGAAGATAAATTATGTGCTACGTTATGGCTAGGATGGAGTGAAAGGAAAATAGAAAATAATCTCGATGTTTTCAGCGCATCTTGGCAAACATGATGTGCCCTGAATTGTACTTCATAGACTTGTTTGTGCGATGCTCTAATGTTACGGCAGTTTCAGTTATGATCGGTCACCCAATCGGGTTGGGAAACTGAATGGCACAGAGAGAGGTCGCACGTTTTGTAAGTTCATTGCTGAGTTGGTTCTAGGTAGTTGAGGGAAAAATAAATGCTATCTCTTTGTTTTGAATATTAGGTTTGGAATATAAACACGACATTTTTATAAAAAGAGTTCTCGAAAAAGTTCCTTACTTTAAAGATTTCTGCAAAAAAAAATAATAATAATTTTTCTTTGGTTTCTTTAGATCCCATACATCAGGACGAGATTCTCCCTGTGGGTCCAGGACGTTTCTCATCTGGTGGTAAGTTACTACGGAGTCAATTCGTAATTCTCAAAACGTTCTACAGCAGGTATCATAGAGCTTCATGGCGATGGACAGAACGTATTTTGTGTCAAATGTACGTGGTTTAAAATGCATTGTTTTATGGGTTTATTACAAGAAATATATTTTTAATTTAGCGGTTAAGATGTATTGACATTTTAGAGCCATCGTATTTTAAGGGGTGTTTTATTATATTATTTATATATCTCTTCCTAACAACGTCCAAACTGGCTCTGGGTTTTACCTAGCGTCCTATCCAATGAGTATTAGCTTTTCCCCCCGGGAAAAAGCGGCCGAAACGTAAACCTCATTCCATCTAATGCCGAGATTAAGAATGCGTTGTATTATATCTCCACTCCACCATATATCTGCATGACGTGGTGCTTAGTCAAGTACCAGGGATACATTTGCCTCATTATATTTATGCTGATTGATTCAATTGTGGATAATGTTGGATCTGCATTCATATGAAACGTCTGCAAACTGCTCTACTTCATTTGTTTGCCACGTAATCTCATCATAGTTGAGATCTCGCACTTAATCTCAAACTTGTTCTATTGTGATAAGTTCATTAGACAATAAGTGTTCTGTTCATTCCTAATTAATGTAATGAAACACAGTTTCCTTAACAATTTCCCTGCATAAAAGGCCCTTAATGTGAATGACAGTACAATATTATTCGGAAACTGTAATGCGACGCAGACATAAGCCGACAGACTCATACACTCTTGCATATCTTTAGATGCCATATACATCGAAAATGAGAGGATTTCCCGACTAAATTCACTTGAGAAATGCGAGTTTCATTGTTATTCGAGTACGTCAGAGGGTAGACTCATCAATTACTCTCGAAAGAATTAGGTCTTCGCAGATTTAATGAGGAGGGGGATTTACGGAACATGATTGTTATTCATTAGCTGTAGTTGGAATTGTCGTAAGGGCTGCATTTATTACAAGTAGCACATAATCTGTATTTAAGTGTATTATGATTTTTTGTAACAGAAATTCAATCATTTAAAATAAGTTTCAAGTATAAAAATCTTCTTGGATATTATCCATCGTCTAGTCATTAAAATATAAAACAGACGATGGATAATATCCAAGAAGATTTTTATACTTGAAACTTATTTTAAATGATTGAATTTCTGTCAATTAACTCTGTAAAGTGTATTTTGAATGCATTTTGTTCCGATGGTGTATTAATACATTTAGAGGTTTTTAAGTCACAGACGTTTACCCACTGGCTCTTGTACGAAAGTAACGCCACAAGTGGGCCCCAAATAAAGTGAGGAAAAATGGACTGTTTGCAGAGATTGTAACTGATAATTGTGACATCGATTAACTCAGTTTTGCTGCTTTCTTTATTCGGTGTAAAAAGCTAAATTTCACGGATTTACAATATACTGCCCCTAATGTGGAAAAAGACAATTTAAATTAGGTTGAGCTCATTTGGCGAAAG